TGTATGTATGTATGTATGTATGTATGTATGTATGTATGTATGCATGTATGTATGTATGTATGTATGAATGTACGTATGTATGTATGTATCTATCTATATATCTATCTATCTATCTATCTATCTTTCTATCTATCTATCTACCTACCTACCTACCTACCTACTTACTTACTTACTTACCTACCTACCTACCTATCTGTCTATCTATCTATCTATCGTATTTTTTTGTTACTCGCCTTGCCGACAACGGTGGACAACGCATATTAGTCAGTGGGTGTTTGCAAGACAGTAAGCAACCACTCGAGCGACCTGCGAAAAGGTAGCGCATATACATCGAACAAGAGGTCGGTACTGAGTTGAGACGTGCAGACCAGGGTCGAAGAGCTTGGGACAGATGCTCCCGATATGTGGGACTGTTTTAGTAACACCGCTGTGAAGAGATACTCAAAATAATTGTTCGACGAGTCTTGGTACTCTCGATATATACACATATATGTATATATGTATATATATATGCATATATACATACCGAGAGTACCAAGACATATATGTATATTCGAGGGTACCAAGACTATATATATATATATATATATATATATATGCAGATTCAGATAGCTGTGTTTGCATATACTGTTTATTCTTAGTGAGTCATTCCCAGTGATTTTGAAAAAACGTAAAAATGATTTTTACTATTTCTCTTCAAAATGTCAAACGTTACGATTTTCAATATGACTACCACAAAACCGGTTTTTATTTTAAAAAAATATTACTAATAAAAGTTGGGAACTGATAGTTCTGAATCTTCTGTTACAGCTGTAAACGTTGTAAATGACTCTTTCTCTGCGGAAAAGTCATCTAGAATGTTTGCAGTGGTAACAGAACCGTCATCCTGTGAGGAAAGGTATATTTTCGAAGTTACTTTAATCTTCTTAGAACTAAGAAACTGGAACTGGTAACAGCCTTACCTGTTTTTCTCTAGATCCTTTGGAACCCCTGTCACTGGGAAACCAGACCAAGCAGAAAATCTTGGTTTCATAACGATGCAAAACAAGGTGATCCCATAATCTGAAAACTTTTAATGGCCTGTCTTAGAAACTGTGACGAGATAAGCGGTAAAACAAATGTTCGGATCAGTAAACTACAGTGTATCGATATAACGAAGAAGTCCAATAAAATCTGATGGGCTAGACATGTTGATGGGTAAGACCATAGTAAAATCTGATGGCACAATTTGGTGATAGTTTTACACTCCGTACAAATAAGGATGAAAATTACCACTCCGATGACCACTTACACAGCGCAACCAATGAGCATTGGCTAGAGGTATGAGACCCAGATCAAAACTACCTGTCGCAGTTTCGATGGGTGATTGGGCGTATTCTAGCCAGTCGCTAATACGAGGTCGACTATATGTGTAATCCTGGTAATTTTAACAATATATATGCTTATGTTTACCTATACACTGCACAGTAGTAAACAGCTCCACTATCATGTTGGAAGTCGAGAATTCATTTGCTCCAGTGTGGTTACCAATCCTTCTATAACTCGGTTATTCGCTTTGACGATAGTATGCCAGACATCCGTCAGTTGCGCTTAAGCCACCTTTGAAAAAGCGAGCCATCGTTTGCTTTGCCGAAATAATTATTGTTGACACATATTACTACATAGGCTACTTCCAAGTTTTCTGCTTTTTATAAACCACGATTTATTAAAGGGTTTTATTTAATATTAAATATACCAAAAATATCAAGATATATATTTCTTTGCGAAAAAGTGAGTTAGGAGCGAAAAAAGAAGACTTGGCAAAATTGAAATGCGTCCTCTTTATTGAAATGTATATAAGCACTCCTGGTTTGCGCCCCTTATTTTTTACATTTTCTTGTCAAATGATAATTTAGCATTAATTTGCATGAAGTTAAACAGGGCGCCTCCTCTACTTCTATTCTTCTCTTTCCATCCTCATCGTCGTACTCCGTTTCTATCGATCTCTCCTACCGCAACTATGAAATGAATGAAGGCGATTGCAGGTTTGTGGAAAGGCATTCCGACAAGCATCAACACTTTGTCGCCACAAAATAATACATACGGAGCAAAAGCCGCATACGGTAAGAACATTTTAAAATGAGCAGCTTTTTATTTTTTCGTAAGGACAGGCCTAACATATATATATTTATATATATATGTATTCATATATGTTAGCTTTGCCTGTATATAAGTATAATATTATATTATATGTAGATGTCTGTAAACAGATTTATGAGCGAAATGCTGAAATTGATGATGGATTGAATGTGCAGCTTGGACAGTCGGTTGTTGTGCATATTAGAGGAACATTTCAATTAAGGATATGGACGTATAAGAAGCTTTCAGTGCCTCACCTGCGGAAAATGCTTTAATCGCTCATCAACACTCAACACTCACATTCGCATTCATCTAGGTTCGTTTCCGGTTTTAAGTTCAGTGAGGACAATTTTCTTCCTCAATTCCACCGAAGTCTGGAACCTAAATATTTTGCACTTTTCAAGTTGATTTTTGGAATCTGAGCGTGTATTTATGCGTGCACTTTTGTATGGTTACGCATGTAATTGTGTGTCTGTTGCTTCTGCGTGCACACGTGCCGGTGTATGTGCAGGACACTAACATTTCTTTTTTTATGGGCAACTTGCGTTTTGCATCACATTTTCACGTGTTCATATTGGTGATCCAAAGAATTAGCTGCCCAATTTAAGTTGGGAAAATTTTTTCCAATTTTTTCGAAAAATCCCATTTTTTCGAAAACTTAAGAGTTCTCCGAACGCGCGCTATAAAATTTTTTGGCTATTATAGTATAGAATCGCATCGAAAAACCCGACAGTGAAGAAACAACTTAGAGGATTTTCTGAGAACAAAAGGGAAATCAGATTTTGGGAAGAACATTAATTCTTAAATCTTATGTCATTTTACATCTAAACGATTGCCAAATAAGAGGAATAGTATCCCCACTTGCGCTATGTAACAGTAAAACTTTTGCTTACTAACAAGCAAAAAAGAGATTCCACTCGTTACCCTAGTGCAGAGCGAGGAAGAATTGTTGGTGTAGCTAAATGTTTTCAAGGGTTGAGAGCCTTCTATAATTGCGATTATTTCTCTTTTTTTTCTGTAGACGTTTTTGCACAAATTCAAGCTTCTGTTAGTAACTTAAAAACTAAAAACTAACATGCATGCATAGGAAGCACGAGATTCCGGCTTAAAGCCACTGAGTGGAGCAGTAGATCTCACAGTCCTGTTGCACGTCCTGTTCCCAGACTGAATTTTAAGAACAGCAAAATAAAATTCCTAAAAATTGCATTAAAGGTTACAAGCCGTACAAGTGCGAGCTGTGCGGTAAAGGATTTCATCAGAACGGCAATTACAAGAACCACAAATTAACACATAGCGGCGAGAAGCGCTTCAAATGTAGTGTGTGCAATAAGGCGTTCCACCAGACCTACAATTTGACATTCCATATGCACACCCATCGCGAGCAGAAGCCATTCGTCTGCACCATCTGCACTCGGGGCTTCTGTCGCAATTTCGACCTCAAGAAGCATATTCGTAAGCTGCATCAAATTCCTTCATCTGCAGCAGCTCACAAGTGATAATCTAACTGATTGTCTGTGATGCAAAAGTTACATTGGTATGCATTTCTAGATCACCATCCCAATTATTTCTATGTTTCTATCAATGTCTCTATTGACAGTATTTTGTTAGCCCGTTATTTCCTTAATTTCATTCATTGTATGTGAATAGAAAGCTGAATTGTTATTGCAGTTGTCCACGATTTGTTATGCTTCAAAAACTCTATGAACTGACGATGTAATCAGTAAATAGTCCGTCTATAAATTTTCGATTTCAACTTGTATCAGTACATTCAGACAAGCGGAGATATTAAATTGCCTAAGTAGTTGGCGGAGAGCAATCATCAATAGAACCCTAACTAATGCAATGCACATTTGGGATTACTATTACTTGGCAGGCAAAGAATATCACCTTTGTCGTTTCTTTTGGAGACCAAAACAAGCAAAACATTTCGATTTTGACTAGCTGAGAGAATTTTTCGTCGTAAATTTACAAGAAAAAGGCGGGCCCGTGCGACTATGCGTTTTGCAGTATTCCGTGCTGTAGTAAGATCGCTTGAAATCCCTATGGCTAAAATTTGTGAAATACTGGTCCTCGAAGTTCATTAAGTTAATTATGCAACTACAAGGTATTTGAACAAGAAACACTCCGTTAAAATTTCAGTTTTTCAACTTCTATTCCCCAAGTTAGCAATCTCTTCGTCAAAAATAGCAATTTCTTGAACTTGTATGTAGGCTGGGGAAATCCCCCTAAAAATTCAGCCTTCCAGCCTTTCTGATTCCCGAGTTAGCGATTTTTCTGCGAAAACTTTCACATGCTCATACGCGG